TAGGAGTCTACCACTTTAGAAGTATTGCTGGGAATTTTTTTTAAGTATCTTAAACTGCTTTCTTGGACAGATACATAATTTTAACAGAAATGGCCCACCCATTGTGTATTTCATGAAAGCTAGTAAAAGGTACTTTCAAGTACCTAAAATTTTACAGTATTAAGAACTAACTTTAGCAGCTCCTGGGTGCTCAGTCGGTTAAATGTCCAACTCTTGGTTTAGGCTCAAGTTGTGATCTTATGGGTCATGGGATTGGCCCTGCATCGGGCTCTGCGTTCAGAGGGGAGTCTGCTTGAGATTCTCTCCCTCTGCCCCTCCCCCCACTCATGCTCACACTTTCTCTCAAAATAAAACAAAAACAAAAAACAACTAAGCATCCTTTTTACTGAAAATTTTTCCTATTCCTAGCTAACATTTTCAAATCTTGCTTGTATATCCATTTTCAGCATGTGCTATTCTATTTAACCCTACTGATGTTCACTGGAGTAAGATTGTCCATATACAGACTATGTCTGACTTGGAACAAGTTCTTTATTACATGCACAGAACCAACCTATAAAGTATGAACATATAGAATGATGAGGTTGTGGGGGATGGAGGCAGGGGAAAACTGTATTATATCCAAAACTCTGTCACAGGGAACCAGCTCATGTGTGTACAACTTAAACCAAACAAAAAATGCTCCAAAAAACATGCATAATGCTATTTCCATTTATCCCATTTGAGTGCAAAATTATACATAGCTGGTAATTCTCAAAACGTTTGTTGATTTGGGGATAGAGGGAACATATTTTCCATGCACAGAATGCTTCAGAACATCTTCTGCTTGGCTACCAATCTGCCAATTAAGCTGGTGATCAAAGTCCTAAAGTAACCGACAGTTCTTTGGGCCTAGAGTCACTTTGTGACCCGGGAAAAAAACCAACTTGCACGATCAGATTCTTTGTCAGCAAATACCCTTTAGAAAAAGTACACCACAAACATTTGGAAAACATTTTATTATATTTCAAGAGATATTTAGATAATAAATGCATAGAACTAAGGGAATTGTGTCTTTAAGGAAACAATTACAAAGTGAACAGGGATATACAAAGTCCTCCATTATACAAGTTCCTTTGGTGGAATTTTTCTTTATGGGCACAAAGCAGGTGGGATGCCTTTCAAGCAGACTGGTTTTTATCAAAGTGGACATCATACCAGAATTCCTTGTGATGAGATAAATTCTGCACATGTTCTTTTCAAGAAAGGAGTGCTAATCCACCATAGAACCACCTCCAGTTTAAAATGGACTCAGATGTTCTTGACTACCAGAACGAGGCTATAGAAGCAAGATAAACAGTGAAAATGTGCTTTAAAATATCTACTGCTCTTTCTCTAATACACATCTTCATACTAAAAGTTCTTATCCTTGGCTATTTCGTTTCCTCAGAATCACTCAGGGCTCAGATTTACTAATGAAGTTTTAAAAATTCTAGCCTGAGTTTTCTGTTGTCCCCTGACCCAACTACTGATATCATGCAAATTTGTTTTATAGTCACATTATCCATAGAATAAAAGTTCCTAAGTTATGATACCATTCCACAAATAGGAGGTCTCCACACAGAAGTATGGTGATTTGTCCTAGTCATGCAACCAAGTAAAAAATTAGAGAAATCAGAGCCCTAGGGTTGTGCCCTTCTCGGTGACACCAAAGTACAGATGTACCTACAGGTTTTGGAAAGTGTTAGCATGTTTGTTCCTGGGAGTGGGATGAGGTGGTTGGGGTAACAGTAAAAGGGCTAAGCACCCAGGAGATGTAAGCAATTACTCTCCCAAAAGCTTTACGATGGTAAAAAGATTAAGCATCCATAAAAAAATTAAATACTTTGAGCTGTAACAAACGTATTACTGATAACTTTCCAGGATGTCCTTCCTCAAAGGGCACAAATGTGACTTTTTGGCACATTTGAATAAGATATACCAGTGTTAACACATTTTTTAACATAACCACAGAATCGCCATGGACCGACAGTTTTGTTTTTGCTCATCCACAGTCCCCAAAATAAAAAGCAGATGGTAACAAGTAGCCAAGGCCACCTTATTCCTGCTTCCTTTTTCTCAAAATCACCAAATACAAACCACTATTCTTTTTCATACTTAGCACCGAAAGGAAGAAGAGGTAAAGAGGAAGGCTGCCACCAAAGGCTGCTTGCTCCTCAGAGTTCAAACACGGGAGAGCCAGGGAATTCCCATGCATGGAGCCTGGGCTGCTAAGCTAAACTTTCCTTGCATGTTCATTTTTAAGATGAAACAACACATTAAAAACCTTTAGGATATTAGCATAATGTAGCCTACGTTGTGAAACAATTGTTCCTAAGGTATTAAAGTCCAGATGCTCTTCTCTACTGGAAAATGGGCCACACATCCACATTACACAGTGGTGTAATTTGCTCCTCTTGTAGCTACAGAGCTTGGTAGAAGTCAAATGCCAGATGTAGATGGAATCTTATCACACTCTCTCCAACAGTTCCGTATTTCTAACTCCCAGACCACTAAAATATCCTCCCCACTCCTGTATGTTTTGCCCCCAACATTCACTGTATCCATTGTTAAAAAGTAGCTCACAGTTTATGAAATTTCAAATGCAGTAGAAACAAAATTACTTCATGTAATTTTTATTTTTATTTTTATTTTTATTATTATTTAAAGATTTTATTTATTTATTTGACAGAGAGAGAGCGAGAGCAGGAACACAAGCAGGGGGAGTGGGAGAGGGAGAAGCAGGCCTCCCGCAGAGCAGGGAGCCCGATGCGGGGCTCGATCCCAGGACCCCGGGATCATGACCCGAGCCGAAGGCAGACGCTTAACGACCGAGCCACCCAGGTGCCCCTACTTCATGTAATTTTTAAACCAATGCTCTGGACTCCCACAGTGAGTCGTGTTCCAAAAATAAAATTCACAAATTTTGCACTTATGTTCATTGTTGGTAGTGATTTTGATATAGTAATTCTAAATTTTACATGTCTTGTAGAATCAAGCAAATAAGTAAATATTAACGTTATTCAAAACCAAAGTTCTCACCATGGTTTAAAGCAGATACAAATATGAACCAGGAAAAGGTGAGGAAGATTAGTGTTAGATTTGAAAGTACCAGAACGAACTCAGGATTTATAAAAAATGCGCTTCCTGGCTCTGCTCCCTGAAGGTGACTGGAAACCCCCATGACACCCAGTAGTACCCAGATGTTGATTTCCAAATACCATTCCCCAGGAAAAGAAACTAGGGCTCCTTGGAGAAACAGCCTGTGTCACCGTGGGACAGGAAAACTAGATGATAAACCTACATCTTGCTTACGGCAAAAAGCAAGAAAGTGCACAAAGACCGATAGGCACAGGTCAAAATGACACATGAATGAGCTGAAAGGTGCTTCTAAATTTTTTTTTTTTAAGACTTTATTTGTGAGAGAGAATGAGAGACAGCATGAGAGGGAGGAGGGTCAGAGGGAGAAGCAGACTCCCCACTGAGCAGGGAGTCTGATGCGGAACTCGATCCCGGGACTCCAGGATCATGACCTGAGCCGAAGGCAGTCGCTTAACCATCTGACCCACCCAGGCACCCTGAAAGGTGCTTCTGCTGGCCAAATTTGGAACAAGTACGGTAATTAAGTAAAATTTTTAAGAATTGAGGGGCTCACATGGATACTCAAAAACAGTGGGTAGAATGGGGGAAAAAATGCTTCTTTGTAGGAGTGCCAGCTAATAAATGTAGATGAAATGCTAAACTTAGAAAATCTCAACTTGAAGTCAACTTGAATATCATAAAATAATGGACCCTGGCAAGGATTATCGATGAATGTCAAAACCATGGAGTGAACAGGATACCAAAATGGTTTCCAGGTATCTCTTCCCAGATTATTTGCTTAAGAAAAGATATTCTTAAAATGGAAAGATCTGACAAGGCAAGTGACCAAACTTATATTGGCAATGTGACAATAACACTGTCTCCTGATGTGATGTGACACCATGAATGAGACACACCACATACCATCAATGGACTCTTCTGCCAAAATACTTATCCTGAACCTATTCACGAGAAACAGAGAAATACAGAATTATACAAGCTAACTGGCTTGCTTCTTCAGTGTCAATTTCATAAAACATCAAAAAAGGTAGGCTTTTTGGGGGTGCCTGGGTGGCTCAGTCGGTTAAGCATCCGACTCTTGATTTCGGCTCAGGTCATGATCTCAGGGTCCTGCGATCGAGCCCCAAGTCAGACTCTGCGCTCAGCATGGAGTTTGAGTTTCTCTCCCTCTGCCCCTCTCCGCCCCCATGCGTGCACAAGTTCTCTCTCAAAATAAATAATAAAAATTTTAAAAAAGGTAGACTTGTTCTAGAATAAAGACTACAGATACAGGATAATCAAATGCTATGAGTTTGGATCCTGGATTTTTACAAAAGAAGAAAAGCTTTAAAGAACATTTGGGAAAAATGGAGATTCACGGATGTGTACTGTATGTTAGATAATTCTGTATCAATGTTAAATTCCTTGGGTGCGGTAATTGTATCATGATCACATAAGAAATGTGCTTATGGTGTAACAGACAGGGTTCAATAGTAATGAGTGAAGTGTGGCGCCACTGCTTTCAAAAGGAAAGTGCCTCAAGAGAGAGATGCAGCAAAACAGCAGGCACTGAACACAGGAAAAGGATTTACAGGGGCGCCTGGGTGGCTCAGTCGTTAAGCATCGCCTTCGGCTCAGGTCATGGTCCCAAGGGTCCTGGGATCGAGCCCCACATCGGGCTCCCTGTTCCACGGGAAGCCTGCTTCTCCCTCTCCCACTTCCCCTGCTTGTGTTCCTCTCTTGCTCTGTCTCTGTCAAATAAATAAATAAAATCTTTAAAAAAAAAAAAAAAAGGAAAAGGATTTAGGATTATTTTGTTGTACTATATTTGGACTTTTCTGTAAATTTGAAAATTCTCGAAATAAAAAGTTGGAAGTAAAAATAACTTTTTAAGAAGAAACAGCTAACAGATACCATGAGGGTGATTTGGGGGGCCTTCGCCAAGTGAAGCACCAGGCCTTCAATTTTCACCAAACAGAAAGAAGACCCAGAAGTGGTTACAGAACAAAGGAATCAAGCTAAGATGGCAAATTCCTAACCCTCCTCCTATTAATTTTGACCTGTGGCAAGTGATATAAAAGTGTCAGTGAAAAAAAATAAATAGAAGTGTCAGTGAGTGGGTTCTAATGCACCTTAATCCATTTCATCAGCAAAAGACATAAAATGAAGATAAAAGGCAAACATGTTTCCATGCTTCTAAATTATAATTCCAAGGGGGATGGAGTAGCAGGAAAAAATATATGTATTATTTTAAAAGTTAATACAAAAAATGAAAACTTAATATACTGACTTATTTTGAAAAGTTGGCAAAATGATACAACTTGATGTTTTCATCTAAATCTAATAAACATCTGAAATTAGATATTTACAATTAGACTAGAGCCCATATTGTTTTGAAATCTCCCAAACCGAAAAAGCATCATCACCAATGTGGCTTATCTTTTTACAAAAAAACTACCCCATCAAGACTTTTTTTCCCCTTGAGCTTATTTTCTAATGATAGATATCAAAGAAGCCCTCACTGTTAATTCCACAATCAGTACATAAAATGCTCTCCTAAATATTCAGCATTCTATCTTAAAATTAGCTCTCACAAACATGGTTCCCTCTCAAATGCTGCTGATGGACGCTGCTGAACCAAACAGTACTGGAATTTTTACGGAGTTATTAAACTCAAAACAACTCTTTTTACTCCAATGGTCATGAGTTTATTTGAGATGATGAAGTCAGCCACCCTATTCCCCACCACTGCCCTCTGAAATCCCAAACAAATGCAGCCAAGTTAATGACTACACTCAGGATAATCATTCAAACTTTTAATCTCCCTTTACACATTATATTAACATTCATATTGCAAGGCAATCCATTCACAAATATTACAGTTTGATAAAAAACTTCACACACATACCCCCAAAAGTCTATACCAGATTCAGTCACTTCACTAAATCATTAAAATAATAAAAGTAATGAAAACATTATCATAGTTCTTTTAAAGCAATAAAGGTCTGAGGCACTCTGGGAAAGATGTTCTCGTATTAACAGGTCAGTGGTATCAAATTATGTTACAAGGAAGTTACCAGATACCCAGTAATCAAGTACACTCCAATGACAGTAACTTCGATCTGATACGTGTTCACTGGATACACGCCCATCTGGATTCAACTAACACAGGTACTGGGCAGCTGAGGTCATTTCTAATGAGGTTCCCAACTACGTAAAGGTAAAGTGTGTTTTCAACACACCATGGACAGCTGTATCTCTACCGCAAGGGAACAGTCCAGTCTCAAAAGAAGTTCCTTTTTCATCACTACCAGGTTTACTAAATGTCGGAAGCTAACAGCCCACCAGACTTACTCTGCTCGCTGCTAAAGAGATTTCAGAACTGTCTCTTCCCGTCAACCTCCACAGTGCAACCTTCGCCCTTCTCTGAATATCTCCAAGGTGTGCCCTTGAAATACAACAGAGGGGAAGAAAGGGAGCTTTCTCCCTCCCATTTCGACCAAACAGAGGTCTGAAATAGCAATGTATTGCAAAATTCTCATGTTCTGCGACAGCCAGTTACCATATGAAGCATGGCTATTTTTGCCATAAACTAGATTTTAAAAACCTGACAACCCTTTTCCAAAGTGACTGTTGCCACATCCATTCACTGACAGAGTCCACATTGGAGAGAAAGTCTCACTGACCGAGTGCTTCCTTACACACAATTACAAGGGTAAATAATCAGCATGGGGAAGGAGGGAGGCCAATTCCCAACTGCGAAATAAATCACTGCAAACTATGGGTCCATTTAGGACAGCATATAACCCTGTCAGAGCAGAATCAACACAAACCCAGGTCATTTAGTGTTCGGTAATTACATACGTGGAATTTAAAATGTATACATATATATTTCCATACATATATAATAAAAAAAATCTGAAACAACGTATGTTGCTAAAGTTTCAAGGATTCTCATCTTCCACATTCACCTGGAGAGCAGCCGGCTCTTGCTGGCCCAGTTGTGGCAGTGATAAAAGCAACTAGAAGCAGGTTTAAGTAAAAAGTGCTCAAAGGCCAAGTGAGAAAATAGGGGTGCAGAGATTTCTGGAGGGAGAGGGGAGCAATGAAAAGAGTTGAGAATGTCTCCTTTATTCTTCTCAGCTTTTTCAGACCCGGGACAAGTTCTGGAGGACACACATCCAATGCTGTAGTCCTTCCTTATCTATAGTCAAAACAAAACAAGTAATAAAAATTTCCTCTTCCATTCTGTACTCTCTATAAAATGCATAGTACAGCCAGAAGGTATTATCGAGATGTGCCATCTCAGGAGAAATTAAAATTGGGACATGAAGTGAGGCCGTGTGCTGTCGAGTCGCCGCGTCAGGATTTCACAGCCAGTGTCCGTGACCAGCAGGGTGTGCTCGAACTGAGCAGACCGCTTTCCGTCTCTCGTCACCGCGGTCCAACCATCTGGCCAGGTTTCATCCTGCCATCCGCCTTAAACAAACAAACAAGAACAGTTTCTTGATTCTATCGCTCAGTTTTCTAAACAAACTCTCTAGGTAAGTCTGTTTGCATGTACTCCTATATCCTAGGGTATCACAGATACAATTAGAAAATTCACTATGAACACTCCTATTTACAAACGGTGGACAGATACATGCAAAAGAATGAAACTGGACCATGTTCTTAACACCACACACAAAAATAAACTCAAAATGAATTAAAGACTTGAATGTAAAACAAGACCTAAAACGATGGAATTCCTTAAAGAAAACACAGGCAGTAATCTCTTGGACATCAGCCTCATCAACATATTTATGAATCTGTCTCCTCAGGCAAGGGAAACAAAAGCAAAAATAAAATATTAGGGGTCCCCTGGGTGGCTCAGCCGGATAAGCGTCTGACTCTTGGTTTTGGCTCAGGTCATGATCTCGGGTGGTGAGATTGGGCCCTGCCTTGGGCTCCACGCTGAGCATGGAGTCTGCTTGAGATTTTCTTTCTCCCTCAGCTCCCTACCCCTCTTCTCAAATAGATAAATCTTGAAAAAATAAACAAACTATTGGTGCTACACCAAAATAAAAAGCTTTCGCACAGCATAAGACACCATCAACAAAACAGAAAAGTAGCCTAATGAATGGGAGAAGATATTTGCAAATAATATATCCAATAAGGGGTTGATATCCAAAATACATAAAGAATTTATACACCTCAACACCAAACCCCCCCCCACACACAATTAAAATTGGGCAGAAGACATGAATAGATAATTTTTCCAAAGAAGACATACAAATAGCCAACAAACACATGGAAAGATGCTCAACATCACTAATAATCAGGGAAATGCAAATCAAAACCACAATGAAATATCACCTCACACCTGTCAGAATGGCTAAAATCAAAAAGACTAACACGTGTTGGTGAGGAAATAGAGAAAAGGGAACCCTTATGGACTGTTGGTAGGAATACAAACTGGCACAGCCTCTGTGAAAAACAGTGTGCAGGTTCCTCAAAAAATTATAATTAGAATTACCACACAATAGAGTAATTCCACTATTAGGTATTTACCCAAAGAAACAAAAACACTAATTCAAAAAGATATATACCTCCCTACATTTATTGCAGCATGCAGCCAAGATATGGAAGCAATCCAAGTGTCCACTGATAGATGAATGGATGAGAGGGTATGGTATACAGACACAATGGAATGCTACATAGCAATAAAAAAAGAATGAGATCATGCCATACGCCACAACATGGATAGACCTAGAGGGTATTATGGTAGGTGAAATAAATCAGACAGAGAAAGAAAAAAACCCTATGATTTCACTTATATGTGGAACCTAAAAAAACAAAACAAATGAATGAATAATCAAAGAGAATAATCAAACAAACTCTTAAATACAGAGAACAAACTGGTGGCTACCAGAGGGGAGGTACATGGCGGGCTGTGTGTGTGTGTGTGTGTGTGTGAAATAGATAATGAGAATTAAGAAGTATAAACTTCCAGTTATAAAATAAGTAAATCACAGAGATGAAAGAAGTACAGCCTGGGGAATGTAATCAATAATACTGTAATGCTGTATGTTGACAGATGGTAACTATACTTATCATGATGAGCACTGGTACAGTCCTGTCCAGTCAGTATGTTTACTGGACACCTGAAACTAATACAACATTGTATGTCAATTACACTTCAGTAATATTAATGATGATAATAGTAATAATAAAAGATTCCTATTTATACTTCAACTGTTTTAGTCTTTCCAACTTCATTTTGGTCTTTAGTCCAATGAAGTAATGATGGTATTTTAAATTTCCTCGGGTGTGTTATATTTTCACATTTTTTATACCTCCCAAACATCAAATCAAGATGGTATTTCCAAAATAAAAGCACTGGGTTTCATTTTAGAAAACATATTGATAATACTCATTACAAAACTATGAGTTAAGAACTGAATTAATGAATTTAGCTCTTTCCTGGTATAACTTTGGCATCTGACTAAACTACAACCAATGTGTATTGTGAAGGAAATAATCTTTTTACACTTTTATTACAGCATTTAATTCCTGATATTATTTTTAAATGTCAGGCACACAGATGGTAAGAACAGATTATACTGTGCAATTTCTGTGGACCACACACACCTGTAACCAGAAGGGGCTAAGAAACGGATTGGTGAGGGAAGTTAAGAAATTACAATGAAGCAAAATAGGTCAGGGAGGGGCTGAGACTAGAGAAATTTACCAAAGGGACAGTGAAAACAGCCCTAGGACAATGAAAGAAGCAGAGAGAGAGAGAGAGAGAGAGGGACAGAGGGAGGAGAGTGGGGGAGGGGAGAGGGAAGCAAAATGAGAAAGTTCTACAATTCTGGATACTGCTATAAAACTGTGTTTAGAGACTTACTTTCTTGTCTCCAAATCAGATGTCAAAAACATCAATATTCTTCATTCTAAGTAATCTTTATCAAAGATTAGGTTTCACTGACTCAGAAAAATCCCAGAACATAAACTCTGCAGTGAAGTAACCTACTTTTGCAATACTAAATCCCAGCCTAAAAAGAAAAATGTGAGGTAGCTTGAAGAACGTTAACTCATGCTTTGTCAAACATCTAAAGACGAGTGACTGGATATTTTCCGATGTAATGAGTAACATTTCACAACTGGATTTTAAGATATAATACTTCTCTGACTTTATTGTGATCTGCTTAAAACAGGTTCTTTACTAATGTCAAGTCAAACATACCTGGATATTATTCTGAGAAAATTCAAATTCCTCTTTGGATTTGAAACTTTCCACTCCAGAGGTAGGATTTAACCTCACTGAGCTACACTGAAGTATATGCATTATAATTTGATGATTATCTGACCAGGCTCCTTGGAAAGTTATTTGCTTATACCTGGAAATACCACATTATGTCTCACCAACCAGGTACCAATTAATGAAAATAGGTATATGATCAAAACACTTTCCGCTCAGCTTCTGGCCTTTCTCTGCTAATATATTCACTGCCCTTGCAATTGGTTCCACATGATCAGAACTTCATTCTTATCCAGGAGTATGACAAAATACCTTACACTCGTCCAGCCCTCTGAAGTACAAAAGGTATTTTGTGCTACTATAAATCATCTCGATGCTTAGAGCAGCCCTGGGGAGGTGGCAGGTTCAAGACTGTCATTTCCACTTTACAGAAAAGGCAGCAAAGGATCACGTTATAAAGCAGCCTGTGGGCTGGATTTCGTGACTCGCTCCTAAGTCACTGCAATCTGGCAGAAGTAATGGGAGGTCACTCCCAAGATCAGATTATAAAAAAGACTGGAAGGATCCAGAAAGGAGGTATCCTTCAGTGAGGCCCCAGGACACACCAGCCCCACTACCATCGCCCCCTTGCTGCATCCCCTAGTCCCAACAGAGAACTGGCTGAGAAGAAAGGTGAAGAGAACACGTGAGCATCTGGGTGAGAAGTCCTAATCATGACACCGGGTCTTCATCACTGCCACAAGCCTGCCACAGGGACCAGTGACAGTGAGGGCACAAATCTGCCAGCACTAAATGTGTCTGGGCTGTGCTTTCACAAGACAACCTGAGCACACGACCTGAAGAGGCAGAACAGCTCCTGAGGTTAGAGTCTGACAAACTCTGTCACTACATAACTAGCTCAGTGACTTTAGTCCAGTTACTTCTTCAAGGATAAGGCTGCTCTTCTATATAATGGGGACAGCACCAACACCTCCCAAGTTGTGGAGAATTAAATCATATACTGATGTCTGCCTCAAAGTGAGTGGCTCTACATCTTCTTTCCCCTCCCAGGCCCCTGCCAAGCAAGCTACACAGGATAGAGGCTCGGGACTGTTAACAATGCCCCCTTTGACAGCGTCTTTTATGGAAAGGGACTGGGATTCAAGTCCTTGAGCATCTACTGACAGCAGAATTACCAGGTAGAAAGTATTGCTTTCTTGCCAACCCATATGGTTCTCAGTTCTCTGTATGATACTGAATCGAGTTTGAGGTGGAACAGGAAGTGGAAATGAACCAAAAAGAAAATAAACAGAGCAGACTACTAATCTGATCGTAAGTAGCCAAAAGTAAATAATTCAATTAAAGAACAGGACAGCATCCCTTTTTCTCACCTTCACAAATCATTGGCTCAATTGTAAATACATGGCCCGCCTTCATCACTCCAACTGCTTTATTTTCTGAAATTAAAGAAAATCAAATTCTCAAAACACAGCAAAAAATCAAGAGTGTACTGTTGAACAGCTCACTGGTAAGAGTACACATTGTTCACGAATATGAGAGTATTTTTCAGGACCATCATGAAAAACAAAACTATGAATTCAAGTATCCAGACCCGCCATCCTCCAAAAAAGCCCAAAAGGTAAAAAGAGGGATGGACCTTTGGAGACAATCTCAGGCAAAAATGGAGAACCAGGTTAAAGTTCAAATTAAAACACAGGAACGGATGTGAACATCAGTACACGAGTGAGGGCATTTGCTCTGCCTGACCACCAGATGGCAAAGAGACCGGCTCTCAGGCTGCTATTCACGATGGTGACTTCGGTAAAGAAGGACACGTGTCCAGAGGTTGCATCTACTAAACACCATTCTTCCTGGGTATGGTCTCACCTCACCCACACGTTTCTACCTGCACATCTTTCCTTGTGAACAGCTATCGTGCTGCTCTCCACTATCTTCAGTATTGCCAAAATACACTCCCTGCAGATTCTAAAATCTGAAGTTTGTAAATGGTCATAAAATCTGAAAGGCGAAACACAATTTTGACTTTCTATTGCTAATCCCATGAACTTTCTTTCCCAATGACCGGCAACTTACTACATATAAAGACTTGGTCATATTCCCTGGGGATATATATATTTCTTAATGTCAAGAGTGTCAGTGTGGTGTCACAGAAAGAAAAAGGATAAAGGAGGCGCCTGGGTGGCTCAGTCGTTAGGCGTCTGCCTTCGGCTCAGGTCATGATCCCAGGGTCCTGGGATCGAGTCCCTCATCGGGCTCCTTGCTCGGTGGGGAGCCTGCTTCTCCCTCTGCTTCTCTCTCTCTGTCTCTCATGAATAAATAAACAAAATCTTTAAAAAAAAAAAAAAAAAAAAAAGGCTAAAGGACTGTGAAGCCGAGCTGTCCCAGTACCGCAGCACTGGACGCACCGAGCCACTGAGCCCTCCTCGCAAAGAGCCAGTCAGAGCCGTATCGGCTCCGAGTGTAAAAAAGGAGTCAAACTCAAAGACAAAGTATGTAATACAGCTTGATCATTTTTACATTGACTAAATGTTGAAATGCTGCCGTTGTGAATGCAATGCATTAAATAAAATACACCATTAAAATTAGTTCACCTCTTTCTTTTTACTTTTTTAATATGACCACAAGAAATTTTTAAATTACATATGTGCCTCATAATACATTACGAGCGGACAGTGCTGATACAAAATACTCATTATTCTAGGAAAGTTACAACTCCCACTCAACCTGACTCATGGTTTCAGTTTGTCAACATACCTCACTCAGCAAATATACCTTATCTGATCGACTACACGACTGCAGATACCATGCTAAGTTACTTTTTAAAAAATCTGTACTTTCTCTATCATCTACCTCAAAGAATTATTGTAAAATACATTCTAAATATAGGGTATTATCATCACTTCCCAACCATATTGACTGAAATAAAAGGCAATCACTCTAAGCTAACAAGGACGTCTCTTACATAGAAGGGGTGGAGGGAAGTTACACAGTTTCCTAGTTCCACCTTTAGTGAGTTAGGAATATGGGTTGACAAGCCAAAGCTGGTATCATTTACATTTCAAAAGGTCTCTGTACATAGACTTGGCAGTTTCCTTTCACACTTCCCTAAAGTGATCACAACGTATTTTAATTTACATAAACCCAATTTACACTGGACTTTTCATAAATGTCTCAAATTTATGAAACAAGTATATACCTGGTCCTCGCTTCCTTTTCCAGAAATAATTTTTTATTCCTAATGAAATGGTTTTATGTTTTATGGACACTATCATCATGGACCCATATCCCCTTCTCCCATAAATTCTATCTTCTTCAGTCTCTCTTTCTATAACCCATATCTAAACCTCAGTTGTCAATTCAGTAAGTAAAGGGACTTTTTTCACCCCCTCCCCTGCACACACTCTTTACACACACATACACAAACATACACGTTTATCACTGTAACAGGACTAGCTACTCCCAATCTGTTAATGGAATGCACATCGGGTGGTTACAGGGCCTACCAGGAAGGAACTGAGTTAGTAACTTATTTTCTCTTGCTAATTTTTATTTCAAGCACAATTCACAGCTTAAATAAGAACTTTGTGGTCTGCTAATAAATGTTTGTTGACATAGATCAAATGCTGTGCTCTAAACTACTTCTCCAGCTTCTCCCGCTGAGAGGCTTCTCACTCATTTCCCTTTTCTTCACAATTACTGACACCTAGGATTTTCCAGCTCACACCTCAACTGCAGCAACTGTGCATTGGGCTGGCTAGCCTGACTTCCTCACACCTGCAATCCGTTCTAGACACCACTGCCAAACCTGTCTTATCGAAATAGCAACTTCACCTTGTCATTCTTCTGCTCAAAAATGTTTCTGCAAATCCCTAACAAATGAAGTCAAATATCCTTGGTCCTGTAACTGCCTACTGCTAGTTTTTAACACAAAATACTCAGCCCAAGCTTATCATGTCTCTATTCAGTCTCAACTTGAAGCATTTACTCATGATATCTTCTACCTGGAATGTTCTTCCTCATCTTCTCCACCAAACCAAAATTTCAACCATTCCATATTTCTCCCACTGGACCTGTACCCAACTGCTCCAGTCCTCACTAGGCAGCACAAAGTACAGAAATAAAGACTGCCTTTAGAAAGACAGAACCCAGGTACCAATCCTAGCCCTAGAATTTATTTACTAGTCTGTGTGAACCTGAGTAAATAAAGTACTTCCCTAAGCACAGAATCTATCTATCTATCTATCTATCTATCTATCTATCTATCTATCTATCTATCTATCTTTTTTTCTCTTTCTTTCTTCACAATCTGCTCTTTAAAATAGGGCTAAAGGAGCACCTGGGTGGCTCTTAAACATCTGACTCTTGATCTCAACTCAGGTCTTGATCTCAGGGTGGTGAGTTCAAGCTCGCAGTAGGCTCCACAGCCAGTGCAACTTAATAAATAAATAAACAAACAAATAAATAAGGCTAAGAAATTATTCAGAGTGGTGAGATCAAATGAAATAATGTATATCAACATCATCATGATCATCCTAAAAGTTAACATTAAGTGCTCTCCATGTGTTCTCTCTCTCACTCCTAGTAACACTTCTCGGAGAGGTGCCATTCCCTACTATTGTTCAAGATGGGAAAACTGAAGCACAAGAAGCTATGTGTAAGTGTCTACATAGCAATAACTCATACATACATGTTAAATTTCTTCTTAGGTCACTCAGTGTGGACAGCTTTCCTTTTTAGCACTAAATAGCAGACTTATTCCTGCACGACCTAGCTCTCCAACAGAAAAGGTGTCTGGAAAACATTAATTGTCCCACACTTCCTTCGTTATTCTATCAAACACCACTCAACTTAAGGAAAGGTACTCTATTCCCCTGTATTTATACCAACAAATAGTACAGTATCTGACATACACTACAAAATCAAACCAAACCAAACCAATTTCACTTAAGGAATCAGAATAGTGATAGCTAGACCCATGGCAGAGGCTATTAGCGGTTCACCAAAACTAGTTTACTTTTCTTCTGAGTACTCAGCTAGATTGTATTTCCCAACCTCCTCCGCAGTTAGTGTAGCCATGTGACTGCACTCCTGCCAATGAAAAGTAAATGTAAGTGATTTATGCCAATTCCAGGCTGGTTCCTTAAAACCTCCCAAACATACCCCTTCATGCTTCTTCCCATCCTCACCAGTATCTACAGGTTAGAAGAGTAACCCAAAGTGACCTTGAAAGGTATAGGTTGAAGATGACAGGACCTGGGTCGCAGAATAACTGCCCTACCACCACCCCCAACAGTCACCAAACACACGTTCTGGACTGTTATGTGAGCAAAATATGAATGTGTGTTGTGTATGAGCAAATATACATTTTGACGGTCCATTTACAAGAGCTTATAGATTAGTAAGTACAAAATAGTAGGTCCTGTTAAATGTTTGAATAAATATGAGTTGACTAAATGGCTAGCAAAACCCAAATCTTTGGATAGTACTTACTGGCATAATGGGGTACGTTGGGGGCTGTATGAAAAAGCTTGTGGATTCCATGCCCACAATAGCTTCGAACAACTGAAAACCCATTTGCTTGGGCATGCTTCTGAATAATGTTTCCCAATTCTCTGTATCGAACACCAGGTTTCACTGAAAGGAAGAAAGAAGAGTCATGACAGAGAGTAATAATAACTAACATTTACTGAGCAATTACTATCGAAGTGCCAGGAACCTTTCTAAATGCTTTACATGCCTCCATTATATGCTGCCATGTAAAGAGATATGTACAAAACTTTCAGATGAGGAAACCAAGGGACAGAGATGCTGTACCGCCAGTAAATGGCCAAGTTGAGATTCAAACCAGTAGCACCTGTATTCTGTCCTTCGGTGTAGAAAAGGACACATGTGCAGTACGAAGGGGTTGGGGAGACGCACCTTTTGTTTTCTGAACAAACAAAAGAATGGAAAACATGCATCTCTTCCTCTCCTTCTCTAATGTCAAGTGTGCTACTCTTTTTTTTGGGAAAGACAGAGTGAGCATGCACCGGGCCGGGGGGAGGCGGGGGAGGAGGACAAAGGGAGACAGAGAATCTTAAAGCAGGCTCCACACCCAGTGCAGAGCCCGATGCGGCGCTCGATCCCATTTACCCTGAGATCATGACCTGAGCTGAAATCAAGAGCTGGATGCTTAACGGACTGAGCCACCCAGGGGCCCCAAGGGTGCTAGTGTTTTAAAGTGAGCAGAAGAGGTAAGGAGAGGAGAGAGCACCGGGAGAAAAAGGAATGTCCAGAAAGTAACTTGACTTGTCCTCGGTTTCAGTCTGATCAACTTCTCAAAGAATTACTTCCCCTGGGCTTCTTTATCCCCATAAAAGTGTTCCTAAAATTATTCAGAGTTGCCTCTGAACACAGTCCTGGAGATAGGGTATAGAAAGATACTTCTTGAGCGCCTGGGTGACTCAGTCTGTTAAGCTTCTGCCTCTGGCTCAGGTCATGGTCTCAGGGTTCTGGGATCGAGCCCCACATTGGGTTCCCTGCTCAGAGGCGAGTCTGCTTCTCCCTCTGCCTCTGCCCCATCCCCTTACTTGTGTGCACGGTCTCTAATAAATTTAATTTAAAAAAAAAAAGATACTTCTTACTATATATTCCTGCCCTGCTTAATTTTTATGACTTTTACCACTGTTTCAATAAAAACTAAAACAAATGAAGTGGTTCTCATTGTTGGTTGGTATGGCTTTCCTCACACTGAGACCCCAGGAGCTGGGCCCTGCCAGACTCCTGGGGAACCTAGCCATGGTTCTGGGGGTCCTCAGACTCCCTACAGTCTCCTACTCTGCCTACCTGATTTCCAACCTGAGGTTCAGGTACAACATATCTCCTCCAGCCAAGCAAATCTCTGGGGAAATAGCTCCAGGAATCATTTCAATTAATATATACTTGCTCTTAACTACATGTTCCAGCTTGACTTTTTTGGGGGGTGGGATGTTAATAATTTTGAGGAACCGTGCTGACTTTCATAATGATTTGCTTGCATTCCCATCTCAGACTTCCCATCAGCCCCAGTCGTGGGGGAGGAAAGCAAAATTTTAACCCAGTTTGCACAATATACAACAAAGAAAATCCCTATTCAAAAATAATGAGAGAGTAGAAAGGAGGAGATTCCTCCCTAATTCTCATATCCGAGGCAGTTCTCATAGCAAGGATGCACCTCATTAAAATCTGGAGACGTTTCTGGTTGTCATAAGTAGGAGTGCAACCGGCATCTAGCGGGTAACGACCAGGAACGTAGATAAGCATCCTACAATGCACAGGACAGGCTCCACAACAAAGAATTCCCAGACTCAAAATGCCAATAATGTAGATGCTGAGAAGCCCTATTCTAGAAGGAGAATTTCAACAAGAGTGAAGCTCTCTACTGTGTTGCACCACACTGAGTCGCCAAGTTAATAGAAAATAAGGGGCAAGAATGATATACACAAAGGTATTAATAGCACTTTCCAGAGATTAAGCAACTTTTGTTCCTTCCTGGCTACTGCTACGAAGACTGGTTTCTGATCGTTTCTTGGCAAGTTTTATTCCTGTGTCTTTGTACAACAACACTTTTGCTATCTGGTTATTTCAATCAACTCACAGAAAAGCAAAAAGGACATAAACATTGAAGACATTATCTGGCAGAAACCCTAGAAGTTATTTTAAACTATGACTTCCCCAAATGAGAAATTAAACACTAAAGAATATTAGTTTTTAAGTAATCCACAATGAGTAAGTAAAAAGAACTCTCTCATACACTGATACATGAGAATATCACGTTTTCATTTTTCATTCCTCCAACTTTATTAGTAAAAATTTCATCATCTCCCATGCATGTTAAAATAGATTCAAGACAATAAAAATAACAGATCTATGTCATTAGAGATAACTATGTGTTTGCCAAAGAACCTGGTCATGTCCAGTACTTTGTTGATGATGTATCAGGTTTATTGTGCAGGAAGAGGGCAGCGGGTACAAATAATACTAAACAATAGAGCTAAAATGTTGTGGGTTTCAACTGAAAATGTTGTTTGCACTCAAACTCTCCTTTTAGTAACAGTCTGCTAGCATTCGCAACAAACCATTCCTTCTCTCTCCTCCTAAGACAGTATCAACAAAAAAAATATCTGTATGAGCTGTTTGTAGGGACAAAGACAGCCTGAGTAAACTCCAACAGAAATATATCTCTACTCAAAGGTATTATTCACACACACACAAAAAAAGGTTGTTATTCACTACAATAAGCAAGACATTTGGAAAACACCAAATTCCAGTAGGGGAATAATTGTAGAAATTTTTATACTGTGGAATATAATATAGAGCCATTAAAAGAAGGGAGTAGATCTATACATGCAGATACATATGCTCATCTGGAAAAATCATAAAGATTCTACTGAGAAAGTATTAAATTACATAATACTACCAATACTATAACGCCATTTAACCTAAGTAAACACATACATATAGGTATATGTGGTGTGTCTGTCTGTCTGTTAATACACAGGGGAGAAAAAAACTAACTGTTAAAAGTAGAAAAAGCCTATGGGGCGCCTGGGTGGCTCAGTCGTTAAGCGTCTGCCTTCGGCTCAGGTCATGATCCCAGGGTCCTGGGATCGAGCCCCGCATCGGGCTCCCTGCTCGGCGGGAAGCCTGCTTCTCCCTCTCCCACTCCCCCTGCTTGTGTTCCCTCTCTCGCTGTGTCTCTGTCAAATAAATAAATAATAATAAAATCTTTAAAAAAAATAAAAAAATAAAAGTAGAAAAAGCCTAAATGTTAAAAGTAGAAAAAGAAAAAAGATATAAAAAGGAAAGAGCTAAGTATAAAGGAAGATCATTCATTTTTCTTACAATCTGGCATCTTGTTTTTTTATAATGAGAACATAATACTTATGAAAGAATTAACAAGTAGAAAAAAAGCTGTACTCAAGAACTATACATTCCTATACATTTATCATATGCTATACATATAATACACATTCCTCCTCATTTATCAGCCAAAGAAAAGGCAGATCGATCACAGAAGAGGTAAAGGATGATAAGCAATCATCTGGTCCACCTCATCAAGGGATGCCCAAATCACCCGTCAATCCATTCCTGCTACAATCCCAAGCTAAGTCAGGTTAGGGGAGAGGCAGAGCCGGTGGGACAAGGAATGTAATCAAGAGCCGGGTGAGGCCCCCGAACGCACAGCCGCCGTGGCGGGTGCGCAGCACCCACACTGACCTGCATCGATGGCTTGCATCAGGCACTCGTACGTGGTCTGCACCAGTTTCCGCGCTCCCTCATCCACCTCTCCAACAAAAAACGTCTCATTCAAGTCCCCGTGATAACCATTGCGATAAAGAGTGATGTCCACTGCAAAACAATGTACAAGTGTAAAGACCACATCTGTTTTTATTTCAAAATAGAAGTCACTTCTCCCACATGACGGTGTCAAGCAGTTTCATGAGCAAGACAATTTCTGCATTCTCAAAGTAGACACGAAGGGGTATCGAGTGACTTCCTGGAAGACACTCCTTGCCTGTAATGCAACTAAAGGCACTGTGGAGAAGAGCGCGTGGTCGAGCAGCCCAAGCCAGATGGTGGGCTTTTATCCGTACAGCAGTAATCAGATCACGTGTGGCAGAAGACATGTACTGAGGACACATTCATGCAGGATCAATAAGCCACATTAATAGCATTAAACAGATGACCACGCTACATTGTGACATTAAACAGAAAACACTGCTTTCACTTACCATCTTCGACGAGTTTTCTTCCTCCTCCTAGCACATCCGTAAATAGAAAAACTTACACTATTCTACACTTGTTTCTCAAAAACTCATCTGCCTTCCCCTTATTTGTGAATATTCATCCCTCCCGTTGTCCCCATATTTAAGAGGACAGACTACTACTATACAATACACTGAATGTATACATTAAATTAGGATTTTTAAACCATGAATTTTCAACCAACCTACAATATCACAACATAGTGTGTTGACTAGCATGACACATACATTCCTGAAAAACCACACGCATTATGCATGTAATAAAAATAACAGGGTTTGTATGAAAAACAGGGTTGGGCAGACCACTCAACACCTATGGCACTTCATAAACAGACACCCTGACTGTTCTACCCGGAACAAGAAGTGCCCGTTGTGTCCACTATCCCTCCCAGCCAGCATTGCGGGCAGTGCACTCCCGGCAGCCTTTACCACTTGGGCTCATGCTTCCCCATCTGATATGTAAGCCTTTGAAGGTATCTGATGACTAAAGAGACGAGTTCATCAATATTAAAAATACCATCCAGGGATGCCTTCTTTGTCGATATTTCTTTTAATCAGAGGGAAATCTTGGCAGCTCCTTCCTCTGCACTTGCAAGACAGCTTAACACAGTGGTCCTTAAAGCCACTTTCTGAACTTCTTATATCAAGGAAGGCACTTCTGTAGGATTTTAGCTTTTTTCTTAGGGTCTTCACATATTCAGATATTACTAAATACTTCAGATATTATAAAAACTTCTCCTCAGATATTACTAAAAACTTCTCCTCATCTGTAAGAAAGCCTGCCCTGAGCTCTTCAAAATCATCAGTGGACGAAAAGGAAAAGGGGGGGAAAATCCCACTTGAATTAACATTACTTCCACATTTCACTGACATCTTGTACCTATTTATCAATCACATATGATAATTGGCATTAAAGAAATTCATGCTGTACCAAACACATACTAGAAGTATCTTAAAAGTAGTATCTTAAAATCATAAAAAATGTTTCCATAGATTTAAGATTTCTTTTAAATTTTAAATACAAAAAAAGGATAAGTTAAAGATAGGAACCAAGTGAACAAAATGCAAGTCACTATCAGATGCCCAAAACCTTGTTGTTGCTTCACTGATGGGGACAAAAGTCACTTATTTCTTACCATTAACAATATCACCTTCTTGCAAGGGCCGTCTGTCTGGAATCCCATGGCAGATCACTTCATTCACTGAAGTACAACAAGACTTTGGGAAATTATAATAATTCAGGGGAGAAGGATAACAATTTCTTGCAATACATGCCTATAATAAAATACAGAGAAAATAATTTGGAATGTGCAAAAGAAAAAATCAGTATGCAATTAACCACATTTTTAAATTGTATTTATTTATTTAGAGAGAGAGAAGAGAGAGTGTGCTGAGTGGGGGAAGGAGCAGAGGGAGAAGAAGAGAATCTCAAGCAGACTCCACAAGCACAGGGCCCAACACAGGGCTCGATCTCCCGACCCTGAGATCATGACCTGAGCTGAAATCAAGAGTCAGACGCTCAACGGACTGAGTCATCCAGGCACCCCAATTAATCAGATTTTAAAATTTGAAAAATGTGAAAATATTTGCTGCATAGACGCTAATGAACTTAATATTTTATTTTAGAAATAGTAGTAAATATTATCTTAATATACACCAGACTGTATGCAAACCAGTTTACTAATAATTGCAAAAGAAAAGTAAATTCACATTACAAATATTAACAAATACACACAAATGTTATGTATATGAAGATTCTAGTTTAGAATTAACTACTTTTTATTAAAAATATATTATTTAAAATGAAAAGATAATATTTAAAGTAAACATTCATGTACTTTTAATGTAACTATATCTTATATAAGAAGCCTATATCCCTATGACCAAAAAAGGAATACCAACATAATTAAGAGATGATAAAGTACTTCCAGATACATTTTAATCACTACATTCATATGGAACAACAAAGGAACCTCTAAGAAAATGGTCTGGTTCTCCTTAAGTCTTATTTTACTTGGATGTTTTTACATAGTGGGAGTCATAGCATACATGATTTCTCTTTCCATACTGCCACACAGTCTGCAGACTAATAATTTTTAAATAGTTGCATATTAATATGATTTGTGAAATACACCATAATTTTACTGGCAATTCCACTACTATTGGAAATTTAAATTAAGTTTCCTCAATTACAAAAAATGTTAGAACCAATAACTACATGCCTGTCACTTTTCCCTTATTTAATGATATACTTCTATACTTCTCACAGCCAGTATAAATAGTAGTTTACACAGCAAACTGTCTTAACTTTTAAAAATGCCAACTCCATCACTCACAAGTTGTGTCTAACATTGGACAAGTTAATTAACCCCTGCCTCAGTTTCCTTTCCTGTACAAGGCAGACAAAAGTGGTATCTATTTCATGGAGCTGTTGCAGAGATTAAATGAGTTAGTAAAAGCAGCATGTAAAAGTGCACCTGGGAGCACCTGGGTGGCTCAGTTGGTTGGGCGTCTGCCTTCAGCTCAGGTCATGATCTCAGGATCCTGGGATCACGCCCCGCATCGGGCTCCCTGCTCAGTGAAGAGTCTGCTTCTCCCTCTCCCTCTGCCCCCTGGCTTCTGCGCACGCTCTCTATTAAAAAAAAAAAACTATAAAAAAAAAAAGAGCACCTTGGCTATACAGCAAGTGCACAAAATGCTATTACTGCATATATTTTATAATATATGGAACAATCCCCCCAAATCAGATTTTATAAATATTTTTATATTTTATATTTTATATATATTTTATATATAAGTGGGGCGCCTGGGTGGCTCAGTCGGTTAAACAACTGACTCTTGATTTCAACTCACGTCGTGATCTCAGCATCTCAGTGAGATCGAGCCCCACTGCTGGGCTCCGTGCTGGGCGAGGAGCTGCTTGGGATTCTCCCTCTCCCTCTGCATCAGTCCCTCCCCCATTCACATACACGGGCATGTACTTTCTCTCTCTCAATAAACAAATAATTTTATGAACATTTTTATGGCTCAAGACACATTGTCAATTCCCTTTCAAAAAGGTTGTCCCAATTTATAGTAGCACCACCATGTAAAGGAGTTCCAGCTTCATCTTCTCCATAAAGGCAGTGGAAATAAACATCTTTAAAATACTGAACTAATTCAGTAGGTCTTCATGATTTGCATTTGTTTGATTACCATAGCAGGTTTAATTAGTTTTCCATGTGACATATTAACTAATTATTGCTCTTCTCTTGTGAATAATCTATTCATATGTGTGCATTCATTACTACTCATGTGCTAAGGTCTCTCCATGATGCATAGGCAATCTTTATAAACAATATCCCTATATTGGGCGCCTGGGTGGCTCAGTCTTTGAGCGTCTGCCTTCAGCTCAGGTCATAGTCCCAGGGTCCTGGGATCGAGCCCCACATCGGGCTCCCTGCTCGGCGGGAAGCCTGCTTCTCCCTCTCCCACTCCCCCTGCTTCTCACTCTGTCAAATAAATAAAATAAAATCTTTAAAAAAAAAAAAAATCCCTATATCATATTTACTACAAACATTTACCTAGTTACTGCTTTGTTATTGTAGATATAAAAGGGAACATTTTTCTACTAATATAGCTTCAGAAGTTGTATTCTTCTTTATTTTAAAATATTTAATGTATGTAGTGGCATGATTTATTTAAAGCACTAGTATTAAAAAATAAAGTACTACATATTTATAAAATTACCATTTTATAAAAACTAAACTAAAACATTATAAAATGTGAGGTTTCAGAAACAAGATATATCAAGCCACCTCAGACCTCAGTATCACAGATACTTAAAAATGGGAATAAAGACTTGAATATTTTCTGTATTGAAATAAAGTAAAAATCTGCTTTCAAATTAGCTATGCTAATTTAGACATTATTTTAGACATTCAGAACTTAAGTTTACTTAATTTTTAGAAGCCTGGAACATCTAATAATGTGAAAAACATTTTCAAAAGTAAAGTTCTTACTAAGTGTACAGCATGATCTATTTCTTCAGTAGTTACACCCGGTTTAATCATGCCAGCAGCAATGTCCAACACTTCTCTAGCAAGCTGTAAAAGAGAAACATTTAATACATTCAAGAAGAAATGGAACAGAAACAGAAATCTATAACCTTTGTACTATCTTAGATTTTGTGAGAGATTTGTTTTACAAATCTCTAATTATTATAGAGATTTTAATCTAAATATTATATGATATTATTATATTTGTGAATTTTCATTTTAAAACTATTTGCATTTCTAATATCCATCAATAAATAGATGTGTGTATAAATATATAAATAAAATTGGGCTAACTAGCTTAATAAGTAAGCATGACTGATTTCTATGTGAAAATGCATATCCTAGGAATCTGAACAATAATCAGTTGATGGAAGTTAAGTCTTCTCACATTTTTATACTTCTTAGTTACAGGAGTCTCCCATTATCTGTAGGGAATCTGTTCCAAGACCCTCTGGATGCCTGAAACCAGACAGTACTAAAACCAACATACACTCTGTTTTTCCTATGTATATAAACCTATGATAAAATTTAATTTATAAATAAAGGACAGTGAGAGATTAACAACAATAACAGAACAATTATTATATAGAGAAAGTATATAACAATATACTCTAATAAAAGTTATATGAATGTGATCTCTCTCTCTCTCAAAATAGCTTACTATACTGTACTCACCCTCCTGGGGAATGATGTGAGATGATAAAATGCCTCCATGATGAGATAAAATGAAGTGAATGAGACAGGCATTGTGATGTAGCATTAGGCTACTAATGACTTTCTGACAATACATCAGAAAAAAGATCACCTGCTTCCAGACCGTGGTTGACCACGGGTAAGTGAAACCATGGAAAGCAAAACCACGGATAAGGGTGGGTTACTGTATTTCATGGCTTTAACAGAGGCTTTAACTTAAAGTTATATATAAAGCCTTAAACTTTGCCCTATGTTATGATGACTTGTGAAAGTAAAATGACAAAATATCATGAATATACCTGGTTCTTTAAAACAACAACAAAAAAATACAACGGGTCAAAAAATTGACTGCCAACTAAACTAGATTACCTGCCATGCTATTTTTCAAATAGGCTATCCAAGCTTCGATGTAGAAAACAACAGTTGCATAAAATTATATGCTAACAATACTTTAATGAAAAGTAAGTATGGCTAGCCAAAGTCTTATAATGTAACATTTGCTACCTTTATAAATCAACAAATCATTGACCTCATGTCTAACTACTTCATGTCCACTTAAATGTAGCTTACTCCATGGGGAAAAAAGTAACTCTTACCCTACATACAAGTCGCATTCCTTCTATATCTTCAGATGAGAGTAATTTAATTTGAGAAGTACCTTTAAGAGCCTGTTCAGATTCAGACATTCCTGAAAATCAGTAAGAAAAGCCAAAATGAATGGAAAGATGTAGTATTTATTAGCCTAATTGTCTTCCTAATGACACAATAATCGTCAAGCCTCATTATTTCACACAATAGTATCTTATCATTTTGGAGGGTCCAGGTCAGATATTTTTAAAAAATATTTTCAATATGAAAAAGAAATTTGCTAAACAAACTGAAGAAAGAATTCTAAAGAACAAACTCCCAGATCTATTAGAAATCAGTCAGTATGGAGTACTTATTACACGACAGGCAATATGCTAATAAGGTCAGTAAATGATTCACACTTAAACAGTACCATACAATTTACAAAATGCTGTAACGATCATCAACTAATGAAGCAATTATACACCAACGACTGATGAATCATTATACTCACTGATTTTTTTAAACAAGAACCTAAGTCGGTGTTTTTCAAACTGTGACCCTTTAGTGGACCGTGACTAACATTTTTTTAAAGTAAATACCTGGAACAGAAAATATTAGACTAAATCATATAGAATAGGACTAAGTGCTGTTGTGGAATGTTTGTTAATTTACACACACACACACACAGATCATGTTATAAAATCCATTTCTCGGTCTAGGTCATAGTCAAAAAAGTTTGAAAAATACCGCCCTAAGAATCTTCACTAATAAAATTAGCTTAATTCAAGTTATTCATACATTTGAAAAGTGTCATAGTCAGTATAATTATTTCAAAATTTGACAAAAAAGAATATAATAAACCATTACCTAAGCTTTTTTATAAATGATATAAAAATCCCAAATAAAGTATTATCAAACAGAATCCAAAAAACATAAAATACAGCATGACTTAAATGAGATTCATATTGGAAAGGCAAGAATAGTTCAATATTAACAAATCTATTAATATAATTCATCAGAGCTGCAGATTAAGAGAGGAAAGATAAATGATCATCTTCAAAGATAATTCTGATAACATGGCCTGCTAGCACCTTAACATGACAAATACAAATCTCAAGTTAAGAACCATCATCATGGAATGTCCACTTGTCAGGAGTATTATTTAACAATGTTCTGACAGTACTAACAACTGTAATTAAACAAGAGAAAGAATAAGATGTATAAAACTAGAAAGAAAAGAACAAAACCCTCATCATTTTAGAGACATGATTATGTGTCCCTAGAACAAGGGAATACCTGATAAATGACTAGAAATAAGAGTGCAGCAAGGTGGCAGAATATCCAATAAATACATCAGAGTCAATTAACTTTCCCATATACAAACCACTGCTAGAAAATATAGAAGATGCTATTCATAAGAGTAACTAAAAAAGCATCCAGGAATAAACTTAACAACAAAAAGAAAACCTAATGAAGAAAAATTGAAAACACCACTAAAAGACATAAAAGGAGACAAAAGAGAAAAACACCCTCTCCTTGGGTAGGAATACTCAATATTGTAAAGGTGTGAATTCTTCCAATATTAGTCTATAAATTTAATGCTATCCCAATAAAAAATGGCAACAGGATATTTTTGGGAACCAGACAGATTCTAAATTTCGCATGGAAAAAGTAATAAAATAAAATAAAATAAATTTCACATGGAAAAACAAACATGCAAGAATGCTAGGAAAATTCTGAAAAAGAGGAAAGGTGGGGCAACAAGGCTTACCAAGTATTAAAACATTATATAGCAATAATAATTAAAACAGTTTGGCAATGGCACATGATTAGACAAATGGGTTAATGAAACAGATTAGAAACCAAAAACAGACCCAGACGTGTGAGAATTTACTATAAGGACATAGATTGCATTTTAAAATCAATTAAAAGACAACTGATTTGTTTAAACACTAGTGATATGATAACCAGATATTCTTATGAGAGAAAAATTAAGTTGCATCCCTATTTAACACCTAATAATAAATGATAAAAGCATCAAAAATCTTATCATACACAAAAAGAGTGAAACCATGAAAACAGTGGAAGAAAAGACGAGAAAATATTTTTTATAATATCTGAACCAAAAAGGTCTTTCTAGGTCATAAAGCCACAGACACCTTAAAAGAAAACACTGATAAATTTTATTACAGGAAAATGTTGAAAGTTTGTCATAAATGTAATGCTGTAAAGACAAAAATGTAAATGTTCAGTCGGGAAAAAATATTTATAGCACATATATCAAGGGATTATTTTTCTTAATATAGAAAGAGCGCTTATAACTCAGTATAGAAAAAACTACAAATCTAACTGGGGGGGAGGCTAAGGATATGAACAGACAGATCAAGAGGGAAAAAAAATAAAAATGACCTTTAACATATAAAAAGATGCTCAACCTTACAATTTAAAAATATAAATTACAGTAACAATTAGCACAAATCATAAAACTTGGCAATATTCTATACGGGGGAAGATATAGGAAAAGAAACCCCCATATGTTTTTAATGAGAGTAACAAATGGCAAAATCTCAGAAATTTGTAGTACCTCTCAAAATAAAAAATGCATGTATCCTTTGATCTACCTATTTACTTTACGCAATTAACCTACAGAAATACTCTCACACGTTCACAAAGAAGTAAATATAAGAAGAGTTACTGCAGTCAAATTATAAGAAGTAAAAACCTGGAAATAAACTAGCCATACATTAGTAGAGGCCTGGTTTAACAAACTGATGCATCCACACAATGCAATACACCTCAGTCATTAAAAAGAAAGCAGAGGGTTTATATAGAATGTTTCCAAGAAATATTAAGAGAATATAACAAGGTGAAAAGGTATATACAGTTTGTTCCTTTTGTGTGGAATTGGGGTGGGGTATTTTTGTGTGTGCACACATAAAATATCTCTAGAAAGTGCCCCAAGAAACTGTTAACAGTGGTTACCTCTTGGGAGTAGGACTTACTTTTCACTGTGTAACATTTTATCCTATTAGAATTTACCTTGTCTATGTATTTTTTTAAAACAAATTAAAACTATACTCAAGAATATTAAGTATAGAGAAATGAAATTATACATCCTTAACAATATTCTGTCATTCAGACTGTCCTGTCCTTCAATTCATCTAAAATTGTAGAGTTTAACAAATTTTGAAATTATATTCATGGGGTGTCTGGGTGGCTCAGTCCATTAAGCGGCCAACTCTTGATTTCGGCTCAGGTCATAATGTCAGGGTCCTGAGACTGAGTCCCGTGATGGGCTCTGTGTTCAGCCGGGGAGTCTGCTTGTGGATTCTCTCTTCCTCTCCCTCTCCCTCTCCCTCTGCCCCTCTCACTGCCCATGCGCACTCTCTCTTTGTATCTCTAAATCAATAAATCTTTAAAAAAAATAAAATCATATTCATAAGAAGTTAATACACCTCCCCACCTCTTAGAGAACAAACCAAAGGTACCTCAGCTTAGTAGATTAAACCACAGAAAAACGCTGATACTCAACATTTTAGACATGCAAAATCAGTAATCTCACATAGTCCAACTGAAGCTATGTATGCAGGCCCTAAGATCAGACTGCTCCACTAACCTGTGCTGCAAATTACCTATCTTCTCTGAGGGTCTCACTATCAGTATCTATAAAATGGAGAAGACCACGGAACCCAACTCAGGGGTGATCAAAATATTAAATGGAGAAAGGAACGCATGTAAAGAACTTAGCACATTGCCTGACACATAGTCATGAAAAAATAAGTACCAGTTATAGAATCATAATCATCCTATTATTTCTATTACTGCTACAGCCCAGAGTCTTTAGTTAGGCGTTCAATCAAGGCCTCCCCACGCTGTTTTTTTCATCTAAATAGATACTACATAATTAAGGTAGGAGGACATGTTAAAATCAAAACAATTTTTAATCTAGAATTTGACAGAACAACACAAAATACATTATGTTAAATGTGGCCGTTAGCAGCTACATAAACAACGTTTTCATAATTGGGTAGATTTCTAAAGGGAGGAAAGAATTTTTGATTCTTACAAATGTTCTACTGTGTCTCGGAAAAAGATGTTTACATTTATTGGAAATCCAGCACTGAAAATTTTCTACAAAAAAAAAAAAAAACCTCCTTTCCTTTGCAGTAGTCACCAAGCACACAAATTGAAAAATGGAGAATCAGCACAGAATTTACCTAAAGGGTGATCAGCATAATCTGGTCTTTGAATATAACTTGGCACTGGCCTTGTTGGCATCTAAAAACATCAAAGAGGTTAGTTAAAACCAATTCAAATCTGAAAGTAACTTTCATTATTAAAATTTACTAACAAAGAAAAAAAATGTAGGGGAAAAACACTAAAGATAAAAGTTCATTCATACCATATAAATGGAAAACAAGTTTTAAATGACATCTTAAATATCGTATCTCTTTCATGAAGACTAAGCTTTCCTTTCCTAGTGGCTAATGCCACTCCCTTTCTGAGGATACTTTCGAAAGAAGGAGAGCGGACAAGTTAGGATTTAAGATGACACAGACAGCAAGGTGCCCATGTTGCTCCAAACAAACCAGCAAATCAAAAACAGTAATAAAATAATGTCTCGAAGTAAATATACATTAATATGCTCCTGGTCATTATCTCTGGAGGTAGAATTAAAGAGACTTTTTCATGTTTTTTATATTTTTCCAAATTTTAAAATTTAAAGATATACTCCTTTGATAAAAAGAAAACCATCAGTAAAGAGTTTTTAAATATTTAAGGATAGCAAACAGATGTCAGCTTAAGTCAATTCCTGTGTTAAGATTCCTGAGGTCCACCTGCCAAGAACATAGGAAGGGCTGGGTGTGGCAGAAAAGCCGTATCTAAATTAAGGTGGAAATATATCCTGCTTAAAAAAACTAGGAAAAAGTAATATACACTATCACTGTGCTGGCCAGAAAATACCTATTCTATCTCATTCTTCTTTAAGATTAGGGCATTTTTAATACTTTCACCTAAAATTCTTTCTGCTTTGCCCATGATTCTCAATTATCCTAAATTCCAAGTAATATATCATAAAAGCTAAAGAGCTAGAATGCAAATTTAATCCTGATTATATATCATTTTTAGGAAACTGAAAATTCTGAAAATTGGTTTGAAAGAATGTAAAATTTTGTGGGCGACTGGGTGGCTCAGTCAGTTAAGTGTCTGACTTTGGCTCGGTTCATGATCTCAGGGTCCTGGGATGGAGCCAGACAGCGACAGCGACAGCGACAGTGGGCTCCCCGCTCAGTGGGGAGTCTGCTTCTCCCTCTCCTCCTGCCCCTCCCCTGGCTTATCCTTTGCCCCTCTCTAATAAATAAAATCTTAAAAAAAAAAAAAAAAAAAAGAATGTAAAATTTGTATTACCTTATTTACTCACCAGTGGATAATGTGGTCTGAGTTTACCAGTATATCGATAGCCTGCCCACGGATCAGTGTTAATATCACCTTCTACAGTCCAGGAAGACACTTCTCGCTTGGCCTTTTCATCTTCTAGGAGGTGGGCAGACAAGAAAAAAAAGAGAAAGAAATACTTCAGTTGTCAAGCTACTGAGCACCAGAATACTTTATCACTTGTTTGGAAACCAAGCCACAGAGCCCAGGCATAAAAATCTAGCAAACTTCCACCCTAACCTAAATCACCAAAGCTTCTACTTTCTTGCTATGTTCACCACCCTATGATTCCTCAAAGATTTAAGTGTCTTGGGAGAAAAGACCCACGCTAAACATATTCTAAGATTTTACACAATATCAAATAGGAATAGCTCACAGAACTCCTTTTCCAAGAAAATGCTAAATGTATTCTCTCTACAATGTCAATTTATAGGAAGCCCATTTTTTGAAATATAAAATCTAAGCCTAGGCAAAACTTCCCAACTGAGAGCAGATGTTATAAATGGATTCTGTGCTCTTACTGAAAGAACGGATTCTAAATAATTCCACAGCAAATGTAAAGTAAAAAACAAAAATTTCCCACTTAGCTGGCAAACAGCTTTCAGACAAGTACTTCAGAATGCTCTGAAAATTTTATAGTCATCCTATGCCTATTTTCAGAAAGGGAGTAACAAAAGGAAGTAGGAAAGTCAAAGGTAAGAGGAGGGAACAATCAATAGAAAATTACCGAAAACTCAGTAGAAAAATTAAGAATCACACACACACTCACTCTTACCAGGTTAGTTATTAATACATAATGTTAATGCATCTAAGAATTCTTTGCACAGGGATAGACCCTCAATGGTGTCTGATGTCAGCCCCCTGACTGCATCTCTTATCCACCAAGTAAAATAAAAGTAACCTAAGACTTTTACACAGCAGGAATTCAAATCCCTCCTACACCAAATCAACCTGTACACCTCCCAATGCACACTGATCTTCTCCTGTTTACTGGTAAGCTATCATAGCTTTTAAAAGTCAGGCTTAAAAAAAAATTAAAAAACAAAAAAATAAAAGTCAGACTTCAAATAAAAATTTCTGAGGTCTGCAAGGGAAATAAAATTCCCCCCCTTTAAACAATCTAAACATCCAAAATGCGGGGGAACAGAAAGCCTCACATAATGTTAAGCTGGAGAGGAATGGTGAAATGAGTGAAGTATAAACTTCCAGTTATAAGATCAGTAAGTCCTAGGCATGTCAAGTGCAGCATGGTGACTAAAGTTAACAAAAACAAAAAGACAATCTACACTACTGACTCCTCATTTTACAGAGGAGGAAGCTGAGGCAGTATGGCTCACAAGAGCAGAGACAAGTAGGAACGCTGGTTCCCAGTACAGTACCCTTTCCACAGAGCCCTTCGCCAACCTGGGATTGAAAGGTGGTTGAAACACAACTGACAAGACTGCAAAAATACAGCCAGTCCAGTCACATTGCTTTGGAAGAGAATGCAATTATAATATTACATACAAAGTAAAGGAAGAGAAAAGAGTAAGACTAGAAAATAAGAATAAGAATAGCAAAGGAAAAGAAACGCTCTATCATGCTCCTGAATTTTAGATCTTTCTCCCCTCTGGAGTTCCAAGAAAGCCACCGTGAACATGAATGTCAATAGGAAAACTGTTCCGCATCCCAGGACAAAACTGGACTCCATTCATTACCCCCAGGGTCAAACATTACAGGAAACAGTTCAAAATGCAGGCCAATGGACGCCTACTTCGGCTATCAAGTACATCAGTGCTTTGTCTGAAATATGAACTTCCAGAATAATTTTCACCTGAAACCTAGGACACAACAGCAATCAAGATGTAGGCTTTTTGGTCTGACACACTCCCGGGGAGTGTGGAGGGAGAAGGAAAGATGTACAATCTTTCAAAGCTTCCTGCTGATCTGCGTTCGGGCCTTTCCACAATCTATTTTCAAAAGAGAATTAAAAGCAAACCTCCAACAAATAACTCAAAGCTACCTAAACCAGTTAAGACTGAATTATGGCAATTTCTAATCTCTAGGTATAATTTACTTAGGGAAATTTACACTTCAAAAGTAAGTTAGTTTACATATCAGGATCAATTTGATCTAACCCACAAATGCTAGACACATTAACAGATACCTACTAGTAAGCATGAACTGTACTGGGGATTAGAACAAAATTATTCACTAATTGGTCTTTGTCAAAAGACTGAGAGCACAGGACAGTGTAAATAAATATCTGTAGTTGTCTTCAAACCTGACAATGCTAAAGGCCCAGCCAGGTACGCTGCAGGTAGTGGCAAAGAGTATCTGGTACGCGCAAGGTGTGACCCAAAGCACAGCACACCCAGGCCTCATTCTGAAAAAAGTCCTGTGCAGGCTGCCTCCTCCTAGTCAGCTGACACAGAAGAACTGCACACGTCTAAGCTTTGCCTGGGACAGGATTTTCTGCTCACAATCCTGACTCAGTTCTTCCAGAGATGATTATTAAACAATTGTTGAGCACTTACTAGGCATTGCACATATGCTAAGCACTCTATGTGGATTTATTTAATCCTCATAACAAACCTATAATTTCAGCATTTTGGAGGTGAGGCTTAATGTAACCCATGCTCACAAAGCTTCGTGGAACCAGTTCTGAATGATTACCTAACACCTCTCTGCTATCCAAAAATCAAGCATACTAGGTTTGGAGGGGTAGAGAAGTAGAATAAAAAGGATTATTTAAAGTTTTGTTGTTGTTTTTTTTAAATAGAGTTTTCATATCATACTTTTGGCTATTCAAAAAATACTTATAAAGTGCTCCTCCTACCTTTTAACTATAGGCAAAGGTGACAAAGAGAAACACAGATTTTATCAGTGGTAAACTAAAAAAAGTGACAATCTAAAACATACTATATTATTACTGACAACTTTTACAGATCAGACTAAAAGCCAATGCTATTGTGTGCATTCTGACAGGAGATACATGTTGGAAATATGCACCGAGCGAGCGTCAACACGATGTGCGTCTAAGGGCTTTGCAATCTAACCGGTCTTCTTCACTAGGACACATGAAAAGTAAATTCTGCCCTTGAGTCATTTCTTTAACTCACACTTGAAATTTTCCTAAGGCCTGATTAGCTTCTGCAATCAAAACAACTCTAGGTCCAGATGGCTTCACTGGTAAATTATACCAAATATTTACAGAAGAAATAATACCAATTCTACACAATCTCTTCTAGAAAAGAAAAGAGGAGGGAACATCTCCCATTTCATGAGTCCAGGATCACTCTCATGCCAAAACTAGGCAAAAATATTAAAAGCAAATGACAGACCAATCCTGTACCAATATAAATATAAATCAGGCTCCTTAATTAGAGATCAGTACACATTACAGTAGAAAGAAAAGAGAAAGAAAGAAAGAAAGAAAGAGAGAGAGAAAGAGAGAAAGGGAGAAAGGGAGAAAGAAAGGGAGAAAGGGAGAAAGGGAGAAGGAGAAAGGGAGAAAGGGAGAAGAGAAAGAAAGGGAGAAAGGGAGAAAGGGAGAGAGAGAGAGAGAAAGAGAGAAAGAGAGAAAGAGAGAAAGAGAGAAAGAGAGAAAGAAAGAAAAAGAAAGAAAGAAAGAAAGAAAGAAAGAAAGAAAGAAAGAAAGGAAGAAAGAAAGAAAAACAGGGTGCCTGGGTGGCTCAGTCGGTTAAGCGTCTGCCTTCTGCTCAGGTCATGATCCCAGGGTCCTGGGATCAAGCCCTGCGTCAGGCTCCCAGCTCAGTGGGGAGCCTGCTTCTCCCTCTCCTCCCCGTTCCTACTCTCTCTTGCTGTATCTGTCTCTCTCAAATAAATAAATAAGGTCTTAAAAAAAAAAAAGAAAAAGAAAAAGGCGGGGTATGTCATCTTCATGAAATGAACTGCATACTGTATGTTATCTCACTATTGCTTCTTGGAATAAAATGCGATCTTCTAATATGCCCTGGTTCCTTGCCAGCCCAACATTTTTTCCCCTGGATACCAACCTTCCCAACACCATTCCCTCCTCTAGGACGGTCCTCCCCAATGGGTGTAGTCAGGGTCAATTTAATAGGATCTGAAAGATACAGGGCTGGCCAGCTGAGGGCTGTCTCTATCCAAAACAGCCCAAAGGGACCAAGAACAATGCTCTCACCCACTAAGAGAACCATCCCCAAAGATCCAAGAGGGCACCATCTAAAAGATGGCACCATAGTAAACACTAAGAGCAATGAGTAAAATGCAAATAGTTTCAGTCTAAGGCAGTAATAATTATGATCTTTTTACTTAGGGGACGTCAGCTTGTTTAATTCTCTTGGAGTGTAGGTCATAATGGCCCTTAATTTCCCATAGGAATCCAGTATTAAAGAAACACGCATACTTGGGGCGCCTGGGTGGCTCAGTCAGTTAAGCATCTGCCTCCGGCTCAAGTCATGATCCTAGCGTCCTAGGATCCAGCCCCACGTCGGGCTTCCTGCTCAGTGGAGAGCCTGCTTCTCCCTCTCCCTCTGCCCCTTCCCCCCACTCATTCTCGTTCTCTCTCAAATAAATAAAATCTTATAAAAAACAAAACAAAACAAAACACGCACACTTCAATGAGTTAGCAAACGCCAGGGGTAGAGAACCATTCTAAGCTGTTTTACTAACATACTATTTCATCTCAACCCTTCACTTCCCTATGCTTTAACTTCCTGGATATAAAATGTTAATAACTGGCTCAAAGAGCTCTAAAAATATCTAACACCTTAGAAATACAGTACTTAATGTATGACTGAATAAAGTTAAATAGCTTTATTTAAGCCAACCTCTATACTTTGATCTGAAGTAACAAATCCTGTTATTTATGCTTTGTTTAACTCTTATTTATTTGAGATCCTTCTTCCTCATCTCTAACCACATTTCCTCCCACAATAACCTAGCATTTCCATTCTACGTAGAGTTCACTTTATAGAACCACAGAAATTGTCTTTTTACATTATTTCCCTTTCCTTCAAATGGTGGTTAAACTGACCTCAATGAGATTTTAAGACAAATATATATGAAATAATCTATCTATGTTTATTAAACCAGCAAATTCCTAAAAACTATACAATTAGATGAATAAAAAAACAAAGATCAGTAGGTTGAAACAGAAACTTTTTACCAAGAACCATGAGCTGTCTGCCAAGCCTTCATCCATCAGAATGGCCATGTTTTAAGACCAGAAAGCCCTTGTCAGTTTTCAGGTAACTGCAACGAATTGTCTTAAGCCCTTAAGGCAGCCCACTAATGAAATGAATTTACAGGATGAGTGAGTGGCCAAAGCAGGAAAAGTCATGTGAATTGGTGATAGATCCATGTGGCTGACAGCAATAGCTAAGAGTTTCACTTTGTGGTGTCTCAGAAAGTAACTTTAAAACATTCAGCTGCAAATAATAATATTAAAACACCGCAAACAATGAATCATGGAACACTACATCAAAAACTAATGATGTAATGTATGGTGATTAACGTAACATAACATAACATAACATAACAAAATAAAATAAAATAAAATAAAATAAAATAAAATAAAATAAAAATAATAATAGTAATATTAAAACACCAAAAAAACAAAGTAATAAAATTTTGAAAACGAAACAAAAACAAGAGAGGAAGCCACACAGCTCATGTGCCCCTGCCTACAACACGAAAACACTTCTAGCAAAGAAAAGTGGGTGCCAGAAAATTAGGACATTCTCAGGTACTCCTCAAGAAAAATCCATCTATGCCAACAATCATCTCATGTTTTTATGTCACATACAAGATTAACAAAGAAACTGCTCAGCCACGTTTTACTTCCATGATTACAAACCACAAAGAGTAAAAAATTTTAAAACGTGCTAATTCTAGCTCTTGGGATTACACTTTCAGAAATTCAAATACACATTTTCAGAACTGGAGGACTTCTGGTCTTCTGCATAAAAGCCATTTCTAAGACAAATGGTACACAGATATGTGATTTTACTTACTTGCTTTCTTATGCAGTAACTTGTGAGTTGCCCAACTTCCTTTAAAACATTCCTAAAAGAGCAAACATGAAAATTAGTGTCAGGCCTTCCTTCATCAGAGACATTTTAAAGAATACTGTATGTAAGAAATAAGACACTGGAAACTTTGCACAAGTCAAAATCTGTGACTTCACTACATTCAGTATTTGGGAAGGCTTAAGAAATGATGACACCTACTTACAAATTCACTTCAGAAAGCAACCTAAACTTGAGAGTACTTCAAATAAGTAAGAAACATTAGCCTATATTATAAATAGTTGTCATATTTCAATTTTATGTCACCAAATTATTTTGAAGTATTTGAAAAGAACCATGACCCAATTAATCAATCATACACTAGGGGGAAAAAAAACAAGGAAAATTTTGCAGATTTTTCCATTATTTACAGTAGCTTGATTCCTGGTTAGTTATCCCCTCTTTGTTTCCTCCACGCTGACAGCCCTACACGGTAAGCTCCGTGAGGGCAGGACTGTCAAGTTCACCCCCACATCCCCACAGCCAACCACAAAAGCCAGCACACAGTGGCGTTTCAGTGAGTACTTGCTGATTGATCAAAATGGATCAATGACCAGAAAGACTCAACTTTTCACTTAGGAAAAAAAGTTCACGTGACATATTTCAGATGCCAGTAGGAAGTACTGTATTGGGAAAATGAACTCAAGTAATAAACTGAATTCAAATAATGAACTCAAGTAATAAATTGGAAAAATGAATTCAACCAGACATAGATCTTATTTATGCTTTCATTTTTATGGTATTTCCTTCAAAGAACTTAAAATTATTCAAACAAATCATTATCAATACTAATAAAATTCACAAACTCCTACAAATGTTTTGACTTTGCAAATATAAAAGAGTAAGTAATGGATAAGAAAAAAAGCTAAGAAAAAAATAGAAAGCACCCCTAGGACTATGGAGTCATCAAACCACATTACACCAGTGATGGTAAAGCTACTCTCCCCCAAGGTTTGTCCAAGGGCTCTGAGGGCTTAGTTTCCCCTCCTCCGGGGCCAGAATCTTCACGACTTCCCCCTGCCAACAGTTAGGTTAAGAAAACCCAGGGCATACCCATCACCTCCTACTGCAATGTTAAACCTCAAGACTTCAAGTATATAAAAAGGTATCCACAACGTTCAACATTTTTTCAATTGTGAAGCTAAAACTCAGCTCAGTCTTTTGGGGAGGACGGGTGATGTGGTTGGGAGAATAATGGCACCCCCAGGGATGGCCAAGTCCTAATCCTCGGAACCTGTGAATGTGCTGGGTCACAACTAAGGTAAAGGGGAATTAAAGTTACTAATCAGCTGACCTTAAGATGGGGAGATTATCGGTTTCATCCAGTTGGGCCCGATATAATCACAGGATCCTTAAAAAGTGGAAGAGAGAGGCAGGAGTCATCAGAGAAAGACAGAATGATGGAGGCAGGATAGAAGAGAAGTTACATTACTGGGACTGAAAATGGAGGAAGGGGCCGTGAGCCAAGTCACTAGTCTCTAGAAACTACAATGGGCAAGTAATAGTTCCCAAAACCTCCAGAAAGGATGCCAACGTGCCAACACCTGACTTCAGCCCTGAGACCTATATGTCAGACTTCTGACCTAGTGAACTGTGAGAAAATAACTTTGTGTTTTCTTAGGCTACCAAGTTTGTGGTAATTTGGTATGGCAGCTATAGAAAACTAATACAGGAGGGAAAATCGTTATTCCTATCTGCTGTCAAATTGCAAAAACCACTCAAAAAGATCAGTTCTTCTCCACCCTGGAGTTATAGAAAACTGGTTTTAAAAAAAAAAAAAAACACACACACACAACCACAAATATTTATCTATGATTCTGCCATAAGAGGTATTGTAATTAATTGAAAAGTCCCAAGAACTGAAACGGGAATAAGTGATTTCTTCAGTACTATACCTATTCAGCCTAAGAAAAGAAGGGTAAAGTCAGTGTTAAACTATAATTTGAAGACAACCATAATAAATAACTATAAGTTACCATGTACTGAATATGTGCACTATACATCTGTATCTCATTTCATCCTCACAAAAACCCTGCAAGGCAGATGCATTATCCCCATTTTACACATGACAAAACTGAAGCACAGAGACCTAAATAGTTTGTCTGTCACATAACAGAATCACACCTGGCAGAAAGAGAACTCAAATCCAGGATTACCTGACGAAGGTCATGTTTTCTCACTGCTTTAGTGTGTGGATGGGGAGGTGTAGGTGTGTGTGGAGAGTTTGTACTCAATTCAAAGCATCAATTTAGCACCAAACTCAGAACTAGGAAACATGTGTGCAATGAAGCTCTACCATTATAAGCTCTAAAATTTTATCTTTAAAGGGTGCCTGGGTGGCTCAGTCAGTTAAGCATCCAACTCTTGACTGCCGCTCAGGTCATGATCCTGATCAGGGTCATGGGATTGAGCCTCGCATCAGACTCCACACTGGGCGTGGAGCCTGCTTAAGATTCTCTCTCTCCCAAGGGGAACCCTCCTACACTGTTGGTGGAAATGCAAGCTGGTGCAGCCACTCTGGAAAACAGTATGGAAGTTCCTCAAAAAGTTGAAAATAGAGCTACGACATGATCCAGCAATTGCACTACTGGGTATTTACCCCAAAGTACAAATGTAGGGATCCGAAGGTGTACGTGCACCCCGATGTTTATAGCAGCAATGTCCACAATAGCCAAACTGTGGAAAGAGCCAAGATGTCCATCAACAGATGAATGGATAAAGAAGATGTGGTATATGTATACAATGGAATATGATGCAGCCATCAAAAGGAATGAAATCTTGCCATTTGCAACGACGTGGATGGAACTGGAGGGTGTTATGCTGAGCGAAATAAGTCAATTAGAGAAAGACATGTATCATATGACCTCACTGATATGAGGAATTCTTAATCTCAGGAAACAAACTGAGGATTGCTGGAGTGGGGGGGTGGGAGTGATGGGGCGGCTGGGTGATAGACATTGGGGAGGGTTTGTGCTATGGTGAGCGCTGTGAATTGTGCGAGACTGGTGAATCACAGATCTGTACCTCTGAAACAAATAATACAATATATGTTAAAAAAAAAAAAAAAGAAGATAGCAGGAGGGGAAGAATGAAGGGGGGGAATCGGAGGGGGAGACGAACCATGAGAGACTATGGACTCTGAAAAACAAACTGAGGGTTCTAGAGGGGAGGGTGTGGGGGGATGGGTTAGCCCGGTGATGGGTATTAAAGAGGGCACGTACTGAATGGAGCACTGGGTGTTATATGCAAACAATGAATCATGGAACACTACATCAAAAACTAATGATGTAATATGCATGGCGATTAACATAACAATAAAAAAATTTTTAAAAAGATTCTCTCTCTCCCTCTCTCTCTGCCTATCCCCCCACTTGTGCTCGCTCTCTTGCTCTCAAAATAAATAAATAAATCTGAAAAAATAAATACAATTTTATTTTAAATCTAGGAAATGATAACTACTAACCATTTTCATGGGTCCTCAATTGCCTCACCTATAAAGTGGGGCTGATATCTCTAGGCAAAGATAATATAGCAGATTAAAGGAGATCATGTATATAACTCATGGGAAAGTAGTTAATAAAGTGTCTAGCACATAGCAAGTATCAAAATATGGGAGTCCCTGATATCCCAGTGCTTATCACTATGCCTGGCATCGAACAGATTTTCTCAGTGTACGTTAGAGAATGAATGAAAATTAATGTGATCATATACACAAAGTCTTCTTCTGGTTGTAGATGGAAATGTAAACTGTTTCCATCACCTTCTAGGACCAACTGCAAGCCGCCTACTCCATAGTCATTCTCCCCTCTCCCTGACACCTACAGAACCCTGCGATAGCAGAGCTGTAATGGACCTTGCGAAAAACATTCCCAGCCTCCTCGATGATACAAGTGGCCTCGTGACCTAGTCTGGCCAACATCTGAGCCCAGCTGTCAGGTGGGGCCTCTGGAAAGCTTCTTAGAAAACAGGCACCCATTTTCTCCTCTTTGCCCTTTCCCTGCTTCAAACCCAGAGATGCTGGCCGAGATGAAACAGCAGTCTTGTGACCACAAAGCAATGAGTGCACCCCAAGGAGCCTGGGTCCCTGATGACTTCGTGGAGCTGCTGGTCCAGTCTCAAAATATCCACCTCCAGACTCCTCATCATTAAAAAACTCCACACCTTTAGTTTTGGAAGACGTATTGGTTAGAAATTGCACTGGATTATGAGAAAAACAAAAACTCGAAGAACAATCACTCACCTGTTTAGTAACAGACTAAAAGGCAGGGGGTGGAGGTGGGGGTGGGGGATGAAGGTGGCTATAACAACTACAGCAGGTTGAATAATGGTCACCCAAAGATACCATGTTCTAATCCCTGGAACCTGTAAATGTCGCCTTATTTTGAAAAAGGGTATTTCTGCATCTGTGATTCAATTAAGCGTCTTGTGATAGGGAGATTATTCTGGAAGGCCCTAAATGCCATCATCATGAGTGTCCTTGTAACAGGGAGGCAGAGGGAGGCTCACTCAGAAAAGGAGGTAATGCGGCCAGAGGGTAGAGATTGGAGGCATGTGGTAGAGCCTCTGGAGGGAGCACCGCCTTGCCACCGCCTCGATTTAGGCTCCGTGAAACGGATTTGGGACTTCCGACGTCCGCAGCTGTGGCAGAATGCACGGCTGTTGTTTTGTGCCGCTCTGTTTGTGGTAACTGCTTACGGCAGCCACAGGAAGCTAACGCAGGACACAAGACACCAGGGCACACACCAAAAGAATGAATCCAATTAGGGCACTGAGGGTGAAGGACTCATTACAGTCTTCTTGAAGCTTTTTCTGCTTATGTGTACTTATTCGTGGGGTCAACTCCCAATGACGCACAGTAGTTTTTAAATGGGATCAGCAAAGGCATATGACTTATTTTAAGAAACTTAACTTCAGTCAGCAATTTCAACCTCTTCTCTTCCTCCCCTTTCCAAACTACTCATCATCATGGATAAGACCAGCAGAAGTGATAAGGCAGAC